CTACGGCGGAAGTAACTATGATTCTCCGGTGGGAATAACTATGATTCCCCGGCGGGAGTAACTATGATTCTCCGGTGGGAGTAACTATGATTCTCCGGTGGGAGTAACTATGATTCCCCGGTGGGAGTAACTATGATTCTCCGGTGGGAGTAACTATGATTCTCCGGTGGGAGTAACTATACATCTACGGCGGGAGTAACTATGGTTCCCCGGCGGGAGTAACTATGATTCTCCGGTGGGAGTAACTATGATTCTCCGGTGGGAGTAACTATGATTCTTCGGTGGGAGTATCTATGATTCCCCGGTGGGAGTTACTATGATTCTCCGGTGGGAGTAACTATGATTCTCCGGTGGGAGTAACTATAACTCTACGGCGGGAGTAACTATGATTCCCCGGTGGGAGTAACTATGATTCTCCGGTGGGAGTAACTATGATTCTCCGGTGGGAGTAACCATGATTCTACTGCGGGAGTTACTATGATTCTCCGGTGAAAGTAACTATGATTCTCCGGTGGGAGTAAATATGATTCTTCGGTGGGAGTAACTATGACACTCCGATGGGGTGTCATATGACGCGGAATTTCCTCAGGATTACGATTACATATTCGCTTATGATTCTCCGGTGGGAATAACTATGATTCTTCGGTGGGAGTAACTATGATTCCCCGGTGGGAGTAACTATGATTCCCCGGTGGGAGTAACTATGATTCTCCGGTGGGAGTAACTATGATTCTCCGGTGGGAGTAACTATGATTCTACGGCGGGAGTAACTATGATTCCCCGGTGGGAGTAACTATGATTCCCCGGTGGGAGTAACTATGATTCTCCGGTGGGAGTAACTATGATTCTCCGGTGGGAGTAACTATGATTCTCCGGTGGGAGTAACTATGATTCTACGGCGGGAGTAACTATGATTCCCCGGTGGGAGTAACTATGATTCCCCGGTGGGAGGAACTATGATTCTCCGGTGGGAGTAACTATGATTCTCAGGTGGGAGTAACTATAATTCTACGGCGGGAGTAACTATGATTCCCCGGTGGGAGTAACTATGATTCTCCGGTGGGAGTAACTATGATTCTCCGGTGGGAGTAACTATGATTCCCCGGTGGGAGTAACTATGATTCTCCGGTGGGAGTAAATATGATTCTTCGGTGGGAGTAACTATGACACTCCGATGGGGTGTCATATGACGCGGAATTTCCTCAGGATTACGATTACATATTCGCTTATGATTCTCCGGTGGGAATAACTATGATTCCCCGGCGGGAGTAACTATGATTCTCCGGTGGGAGGTACTATGATTCCCCGGTGGGAGTAACTATGACACTCCGATGGGGTGTCATATGACGCGGAATTTCCTCAGGATTACGATTACATATTCGCTTTTGCCGGATCTCTTCAAATAAGCGAGAAAAATGCAAATTTGTTTGGGGGGGAGGAACTATGACTATTCATTTCAAAGGACGATTCTGGGAAAACCATTGGAGTTATCGAAGAAATGAAAACGGATATGACTTCTGCGGCCCGAAATCAGCAAGAAAATGTATTAAGTGAAATTTCGAAAATTTTGTTGAAAATTGGTGGGAAATTGAGGTCATTTTGCATATTTTTGAATATTTCAAAGGACGATTCTGGGAAAACCATTGAAGTTATCGAAGAAATGAAAACGGATATGACTTCTGCGGCTCAAAATGTGCAAGAAAATGTATTAAGTGAAATTTCGAAAATTTTGTTAAACATTGGTGGAAATCGAGGTCATTTTGCATATTTTTGAATATTTCAAAGGACGATTCTGGGAAAACCATTGAAGTTATCGAAGAAATGAAAACGGAAATGAAAACTGTTGCGAAAAAGGACCAAAAAGGATACTAAGAACGAAAAAGGACGAAGAAGGACGAAAAAGGATAAAAGGGACGAAAGAGGACGGAAAAGAACGAAAAAGAAAAAAAAATGAAGAGAAGGGAAAAAGGGTAAAGAGAATTTTGTAGGGGAGTAACTATGATTCTCCGGTGGGAGTAACTATGATTCTTCGGTGGGAGTAACTATGATTCTCCGGTGGGAGTAACTATGATTCTTCGGTGGGAGTAACTATGATTCTTCGGTGGGAGTAACTATGATTCTTCGGTGGGAGTAACTATGATTCTTCGGTGGGAGTAACTATGATTCTCCGGTGGGAGTAACTATGATTCTTCGGTGGGAGTAACTATGATTTTTCGGTGGGAGTAACTATGATTCTCCGGTGGGAGTAACTATGATTCTTCGGTGGGAGTAACTATGATTCTCGGGTGGGAGTAACTATGATTTTTCGGTGGGGGTAACTATGATTCTTCGGTGGGAGTAACTATGATTCTTCGATGGGAGTAACTATGATTCTTCGGTGGGAGTAACTATGAGTCTTCGGTGGTGTATCATATGACGCGGAATTTCCTCAGGATTACGATTCCATATACGCTTTTGCCGGATCTCTTCAAATAAGTGAGAAAAATGCAAAATTGTCTGGGGGGATGTAACTATGACTATGTACTTCAAAGGACGATTCTCGAAAAACCAAGGGAGTTATCGAAGAAGTGAAAGCGGATTTGATTTCTGCGGCCCGAAATCTACAAGAAAATGTATTAAGTGAAATTTCGAAAATTTTGTTGAAAATTGGTGGGAAATTGAGGTCATTTTGCATATTTTTGAATATTTCAAAGAACTATTCTGGGAAAACCATTGGAGTTATCGAACAAATGAAAACGGATATGACTTCTGCGGCCCGAAATGTGCAAAAAAATGTATTAAGTGAAATTTGGAAAATTTTGTTAAACATTGGTGGGAAATTGTGGTCATTTTGCATATTTTTGAATAGTTCAAAAGACGATTCTGGGAAAACCATTGAAGTTATCGAAGAAATGAAATCGGATTATGATTCTTCGATGGGAGTAACTATGATTCTTCGGTGGGAGTAACTATGATTCTCCGGTGGGAGTAACTATGATTCTTCGGTGGGAGTAACAATGATTCTCCGGTGGGAGTAACTATGATTCTTCGGTGGGAGTAACTATGATTCTTCGATGGGAGTAACTATGATTCTTCGGTTGGGTATCATATGACGCGGAATTTCCTCAGGATTACGATTCCATATACGCTTTTGCCGGATCTCTTCAAATAAGCGAGCAAAATGGAAATTTGTCTGGGGGGAAGTAACTATGACTATGTACTTCAAAGGACGATTCTCGAAAAACCAAGGGAGTTATCGAAGAAGTGAAAGCGGATTTGACTTCTGCGGCCCGAAATCTACAAGAAAATGTATTAAGTGAAATTTCGGAAATTTTGTGAAAATTGGAAGGAAATTGAGGTCATTTTGCATATTTTTGAATATTTCAAAGGACGATTCTGGGAAAACCATTGGAGTTATCGAAGAAATGAAAACGGATATGACTTCTGCGGCCCGAAATCAGCAAGAAAATGTATTAAGTGAAATTTCGAAAATTTTGTTGAAAATTGGTGGGAAATTGAGGTCATTTTGCATATTTTTGAATATTTCAAAGGACGATTCTGGGAAAACCATTGAAGTTATCGAAGAAATGAAAACGGATATGACCACTGTGGCGAAAAAGGACGAAAAAGGATACTAAGAACGAAAAAGGACGAAGATGGACGAAAAAGGATAAAAGGGACGAAAAAGGACAGAAAAGAACGAAAAAGAAAGAAAAATGAAGAGAAGGGCAAAAAGGGTAAAGAGAATTTTGGAGGGGAGTAACTATGATTCTTCGCTGGGAATAACTATGATTCTTCGGTGGGAGTAACTATGATTCTTCGGTGGGAGTAACTATGATTCTTCGGTGGGAGTAACTATGATTCTTCGGTGGGAGTAACTATGATTCTTCGGTGGGGTATCATATGACGCGGAATTTCCTCAGGATTACGATTCCATATTCGCTTTTGCCGGATCTCTTCAATTAAGCGAGAAAAATGCAAATTTGTCTGGGGGGAAGTAACTATGACTATGTACTTCAAAAGACGATTCTCGATAAACCAAGGAAGTTATCGAAGAGGTGAAAGCGGATTTGACTTCTGCGGCCCGAAATCTACAAGAAAATGTATTAAGTGAAATTTCGAAAATTTTGTTGAAAATTGGTAGAAAATTGAGGTCATTTTGCATATTTTTGAACATTTCAAAGGACGATTCTGGGAAAACCATTGGAGTTATCGAAGAAATGAAAACGGATATGGCTTCTGCGGCCCGAAATGTGCAAGAAAATGTATTAAGTGAAATTTCGAAAATTTTGTTAAAAATTGATGGGAAATTGAGGTCATTTTGCATATTTTTGAATATTTCAAAGGACGATTCTGGGAAAACCATTGAAGTTATCGAAGAAATGAAAACGGATATGACTACTGTGGCGAAAAAGGACGAAAAAGGATACTAAGAACGAAAAAGGACGAAGATGGACGAAAGAGGACGAAAAAAGTCGAAAAAGGACATAACTTAACAGCAGAGTGCAACGAAGCAGCATTATTCTAATCTCAAATAAACGAAGTGCAGCCGGTAACTGCAATGAATTCCCATCCCGTACGAGCCGTACCGAGTTTGGCCTTGTCTAGCCCGACAGAAATCCGCTCTCTAATCATTATTCACCCCACACCAAATAGATATTAAGTTTTTTTAATTTTTTTTTATCGCTTCAATATGCTAGGCTTATCGCTATCGCTTACTATCAGTATTGATAAGAATTATTTTTATATGCTTTCAACTTTATAAATTTCACTTAGAATTTAACTTTATTTTCTATAATATTCATCTAAATTACTTCAGTTAATTTAATTAAGGTTACTAACTTTATTAATTTTAAGCTGCTTCGCAAATTCTATAATTTTTTTTTACAACTTTTGTACAATAATTAATTATTATAATTCTTTCATTCTTCTGTGATCATTTTATAATTACTTGGAAGTTACAATAATGTTTCATTTTCATTAAACTTAGTAAATCAAATCTGACCGAATTTAGTTTGACCCTCTCGCAGTGCACAGAGTGTTAAAAAAAAAAACATCAGACTTTCAGTAACTTAAGTAGGCGTGACACGGCACAGGTAAGTTACTTGGCGCCCAAAGATTATAGAAATATACATATGAACCCATCACCCTGCTCACCAACACCTAACTGAGCTGCCAGTGTAACAAGTTCAAAATAAATTATCCGATATAACTTACTGTAACGACAGAATTTTTTCACTTCTATCCACTTTAAAAAGAATTCGAAATGAAGATCATTATTTTCAGAAGTAATTTTCTCGTGACTAACCCTGTATACAGTGCATCTTTTTTAAAAGTGGCCATAGGGATTTCCAGGTTAAATTTTCTACCCCATGTTAATTTATGTTTGAGTAAAGATTCAGAGCTGAAATTTTTACTGGATGTAACTTGGGTTATCTTTGGTCGATTTTATTAAAAATCATGTTTTAAATTAAAGGATATTTCTTAAAAAAAAAATAAAATATTTGGATATTTTTGTCGCTAATATTATAGACAGCCATGTAAAATCAGACATTTACCTGACGTTTTTAAACTTTGATTATTCGTACAATTACTGTTGTTTTGTGACCGAAATTCGTCAACATACCGCAGTACATAATTAAAGAAAAAATAGAAATGGTCACTGATGGATACATTAAAGCCTTATCGACAACAGAGAAACTCCGCAAAATTTTGCTGCAGCATTCCCACATCGTTCCATACCCGGCAAGAGCACATTTTGAAAATTTTGTGGCAGATCTACAAACACAGGTTTTTTCGATCTTTGACATGGAATTTGAGTGAAATTATCTTTTATTATCTTCATTTAGGTTTGAATTCCATCATTCCGTTTCTTTTCTAAAAACTGCAATTAAGGTATTTAATGATTAAATCAAAATTATGCTGTCAAAAATGACAAGTTAAAATGATAAGTCAAAACCGTCTATGATGTACCAAAACTTTTTTAATCAAAATAATTTTTATTTTTTAAAGCACAAATTAGCAAATTACTGCAAAAAGTGGTAGTGAAAATTAAAGTAGAACCCTAAGGTTATTTTTTCCGCAAAAATCAACTCTGGGTTTTTACCCTAACAAAAGTTAGCATGGGGTCTAAAATTTAACATGGGAATCCCTATGGCCACTTTTAAAAAAGATGGACTGTATAGATAATTTTTCTATGTATGTGCATCGTTTTTGTATTGTATGTATTAGTTGTACTAGATGCGCGAAGAAATGTGTACCATCCTCGCGAAATTTGAAATTTCAAAATAAAAATCTAATCTCAAGCGCTGTGAAAAATAAGTTTTACATTAGTCGAGCATTTTTGTAATGAGTTTCGTTTAGAAGTCATTATTATTATATTCTAGTATATTCCCCAACAGGCCAGAGGCCCAATTACAGGAGAACAGGAGGACATACACGACACTCAGAGGCAGGGTGTTGTGTATGTCCTCCTGAATTGGAGTTGATGTTTTTGCTGCAAAAATGTCTTTTATTAATAACAGAAAATGATGTCTATTATCATTATATCTCCGTATTCTCCTGAAAATTGTTTGAAATATCTGCTAGAACATTCGTCTTTAAAGAAGTACTGGAGCTGAGAGTCAGAAAACTGACATAATCTCAGTAATGGAACCACTAAAATGGAACTTTCAGTAATTTTACATTTTAACAGAGGCAGCGATAGTGTTATGTTGCTGCCAACTTACATGTCAACTGCCAAGAAATCCCAATCTCTCACCGGAACTACCTACTGGACACACTAGTTTTGGTACTTCTTATTTGATGTTCTACTAATTGTCGAAACCTTCACAAGCTGATGCCCCAGGACCATAGCTTCAACTTTTTGAGTCATCTCTTCATCTGTTGCTGGTTTTGATCTTCCATTTCTGGGATCATCTTCCATGGATTCACGGCTACCCCGAAATTGTTCATACCAAAATTATATTTATTATGTAGTAAACTGACTGTGCATCATTTCCATAAACTGCCACCATCCTCTTACGAACTGTCTTTGTTTGCTGGCCTTCCATTGTATGAAATTTTATAACGCTACGATACTCTAATTTTAATTTGCTTATTTTTCTTTGGATAATACCTTATAAAACTCAAATGAATAACCAAAATTAACTCATATTTTCGGTGCAAGGTAAGAATAACTGCCCATTCACAGTGGACATAAGGCATAATAACGAGCGCATAACATAATTTACGTTTTTGGTTTGTGTCTGGCTTATGCTTATGTACGTTCACAGTGGACAGAATGAACTGTGTAAGAATTGTTAAACTGCACAAACGCAGAACAGAATAACTGCCGGCTAACCATAGAGGTGTGAAATGCCAAGTGCCAACTGTCAAAGGGAATGCAATAGCAGCATTCAAAAGTCCCTAGATTTTAACATAATTGTGACATAATTTGTGCACAAAGTTGAACTTATTTCAGCTTTGTGTACGCACACAAGGATTACATAAAACGTTCATAAGCATAAGCATTACGTTCGTTCACTGTGAACAGGGGTATACGTTTTCCATCGTTGCAACTTTATGTATTTGTGTAAGCTTTAAGTACTTGTTATGCCTTATGACCATTGTGAATGGGCAGTAAATGGCACAATTTAACATATTAACGACAACGGTGTCAACTGGTAGGTAGATAATATTTCTAGTTGCCCTCGTAAGTAAATAGTGACACTACATAAATATATCCTGTATCGCAAAATTTAAATTTAAATTGGGGGGGGGGGGGGGAGTACCAGTTGACGCCTTATAAAGGTGTTTTAAAATGATTTTCATCTAGTTAGCTTTAAAATCGCTTCAACTCCTATCTTTCCCTAGATGAAAATCATTTTGAAACACGTTGTATTATACAGGGTTTCAATAAATGGTTATAGTGTCGCAGTGGGTTATGTAATGTTATTATGTTATGATATCTATACTGTGGTGCCACCTCTCATATTTAACTGTACTAAGACCATAAGCATCTGTATATCTGGTTGCCTAAATGCTTCATATTAAAAAAAAAACTACTTCATTACAATAAAAAGAAAAACATTATTGCAGTTAAACATCACATGAAATGGTGAAAATGCTCATCATTTTGTTCAAGGCACATGTTCACTCTCTTTTTAATTTCAAAAATGTTCTGTAACATTAGAGTCCTCTTCTCTGGTGGACTGAATCTTTCCTCACTGATCGCATTTTCAAAGTCATTGTCGGAAACTATTTTAGTCTTTCCGCTCCAGTTTTAAGTGGCGTCCCTGAGGGCTCCATTTTAGGCCCTCTTCTTTTTATCACATCTGTCACCGATCTCAGTGGTCTATTAAAGTCTTCTCATGCGTTTTATGCAGATGACTTAAAAATATATGGTATTTCATCTGACCATCAGAAAAAAAAAGAGATTTGACTATAACTGAACGATGGTGTGAAGATTGGTTACTTCCTCTCAATACCAGTAAGTGCAAATTATTATATATTGGAAAAAATAATCCTAGGCATAGATACTTTATTATAATAACGTGGAACTCTCGACATGTGATGAGTACCTAGACCTATGGGTGTTGATTACATCAAGTCAAGCATTTAACTCGTGTTACTGCTAAGGCAATTCTGGAAAGAGATAAGAAACTATTGGAATCTACTCAACGCAGAGTAACCAGAATGCCGTATGGTATAAATCGTCCGCAATACTTGGATAGACTAGCCACCACGAACCTATCTTCACTCTCTGTAAGAAGAACAAGAGATGTTATTACAACTTTTCAGGCTTTAACAACTGCAAATTCACCTATTAGGCACCTATTTTCACTCAGTCCTGATACACGAACTAGAGGACATATTTTCAAGCTTCAAAAAGAGAATTTCAAAACCCGGAGTAGACAGCACTTTTTGTCAAATAGAGTTTTTGATCCTTGGAACTCACTAACGGACTATGTAGTTTTAAGTAACTCTGTACTGTCATTTAAAATTAACTACGACCATTTCTGCACTGAATAACTTTATATTGTTACTTTTATTATAGTTTTGTAAATAATAGGCTGCGCGGGCATAACAGATTTAACGTCTACCCGAACGCATTTACTTAATAATAATAATAATAGATTAGCACCAATAGGTCAGAGTAGTGTAGGTCACTTTCCACGTGATGCGCGGATAAATAATCGGTAGTTACGCTAGACTTTTGGGGATGGGGTGAGATTAGAGAATAATAGCAGACTAATTTGTATGCTATAATTTTAGAATCTCGAAAGTTGTTTCGTTAATCTAATCAATGCATATCATTACTTGGTCTTAACACCCGTAATGATAGAAGTCTTGCCTGAATACCGGTCATTTCCGGGTCAGTGGTGGGTCTTAATAACATCCTTTCGTCAAAACTTTGGACCAGTCGTTCAATTGTTCAATTCTGCTCAAGTCGTTTCAAATCATCAATAACGTCCTTAGATACTGAAGGTCTTCCACGAGATTTCCCTTTGTTCACACTGCTCTAACGATGTTTCTTGAATTATTAAATCACGGTATTTGGCCAGATATTCTTGCTTACAAGCGATTACAGAGTACATACACTTTTCGTTTACTAAGTCCCATCGCGATAACAAGATATAACGATGAAAGTGTTTTGTTCGACAGAATAAACCATTTTCCCAGACTTCGCTTCCTAGCACAAAAACCAAATTTTGTTTTTGTTGTTTTGATCTTGGATCAACGACAATTACTATAATTCCCACTTGAAAAACGTTAAAACAATAAAAACGGTTACTTTAAATGGCAGGTTACGAATGACATTAATGTGGCAAATGAGAACTGTTATAATGAGGAATAATTTCAGCGAAGTGGGATTTTTGAAATCCATGCCCAACTACACCCTTCGAATCATTTATAAAAGCCCCGTATTATTGTACCGTTGTGAGCACTTTTGCCACAATTACCACTGTCACGTGATTTACTATGAGCGTTATTATTGGTTATTGTAAATAATTTCGAAAAGTCCATAGATATTGAAGGTGTAGATAGAGTATGCCGTATACTTTCCATATATCAACGTGTGCCTAACATCTCCAGGGTGAAAGGAGTGAGGCGCGGGAGGTTTAATTATGTTCTCTGGTTTAATCTTAGATCATATAATATTATATGATCTAAGGGTTTAATCCCTTGAGGTACAGTGGCTGACGCGTTTCACTTTCATACAATTTCAAGAAAAACAAAAAATATTGGTTTTTAAACAAAATGTGTGGTTAATACACTTCCCATACGTTCGTATATCTGGTCTTATGCAAATATCCACTAAAATCTAGAACAATGACAAATGTATTAAAACTAATAGACACAAATAAAATGTAGTTCCGCCACTGACTCGTTCAATTGCTTATCCGTCAATTCACGAATGTGTACGAACATGATACGCACAGAAGAGAGGGTTTGTATATGTGCGATCCAAAATAATGAGCCCGATACTCTCTCTATGCATTTAAACCTCCTTGGAAAAGTCAAACTCTAACCTCAGTTTCACACGTTTATTTTTCGATTGTTTTTTCACATTTTAGCAAGTGAGGAAAAAATAAAAGGTGTTCCAATATCAATAAATGAAAAATGAAGAATGCAAAAACGTGGCGGTTTTGTCAGTCTGAAGCTGAATTGGTCAAAACTAAAACCAACTGTGAAGCACCAAATGGTTACAACGATGATTCGTTAGTTTTGGAATATGATACAAGCAAGAGGAAAAGAAAAGCACAAGCCCTAATTGATTTAGGTGTGGACAGTGGGGCATCAAAAAGACAGAAGAAAAATACACGTTTGTCACAGGAAAGTGTGATAATGGAGGAAACTACAGAGCCTCCAGTTTCCCTCAAAAAGAAGAAAAAGAAGAAATATGTCAATCAGAGTGAGGTTGAGGAACAGTTGTCCCCAGTTGAGCTCGTAGCAGGTGAAGAAAATAGAAAAAGGAAGAAACATAAGAAGAAAAGAAAAGAAAATGGATGTGAGCAACAAAAAAGTGAAATAAATGTACAGTCTGATGAACTACATGATCACATTCAAATTGAAGCACGCTCTGAAGAAGATACAAAAAGGCACAAACGTAAAAAGAAAAAGAATGTGGTTGAAGAACAGTTCCCTCCAGTTGAGCTTGAAGCACGTGAAGAAAATAGAAAACAGAAGAAACACAAGAAGAAAGGAAAAGAAAATGGATGTGAACAACAAAAAAGTGAAATAAATGTACAGTCTGATGAACTACATGATCACATTCAAATTGAAGCACACTCTGAAGAAGATACAAAAAGGCACAAACGTAAAAAGAAAAAGAATGTGGTTGAAGAACAGTTGCCCCCAGTTGAGCTTGAAGCACGTGAAGAAAATAGAAAAAAGAAGAAACACATGAAGAAAAGAAAAGAAAATGGATGTGAACAACAAGAAAGTGAGATAAATGTACAGTCTGATGAACTAGATGATCACATTCAAATTGAAGCACACTCTGAAGAAGATACAAAAAGGCACAAACGTAAAAAGAAAAAGAATGAAGTTCAGGAACAATCGCCCTCAGATGAGCTTGAAGCACGTGAAGAAAATAGAAAACAGAAGAAACACAAGAAGAAAGGAAAAGAAAATGGATGTGAGCAACAAGAAAGTGAGATGAATGTACAGTCTGATGAGCTAGATGATCACATTCAAATTGAAGCACACTCTGAAGAAGATACAAAAAGGCACAAACGTAAAAAGAAAAAGAATGAAGTCGAGGAACAATCGCCCTCAGATGAGCTTGAAGCACGTGAAGAAAATAGAAAACAGAAGAAACACAAGAAGAAAGAAAAAGAAAATGGATGTGAGCAACAAGAAAGTGAGATAAATGTACAGTCGGATGAGCTAGATGATCACATTCAAATTGAAGCACACTCTGAAGAAGATACAAAAAGGCACAAACGTACAAAGAAAAAGAGTGAGGTTGAGGAACAGTTCCCTCCAGTTGAGCTTGAAGCACGTGAAGAAAACAGAAAACAGAAGAAACACAAGAAGAAAGGAAAAGAAAATGGATGTGAGCAACAAGAAAGTGAGATAAATGTACCGTCTGATGAACTAGATGATCAGATCCAAATTGAAGCACACTCTGAAGAAGATACAAAAAGGCACAAACTTAAAACGAAAAAATATGAAGATGATCAGATTGCAGACTGTAAAACATTCAAAATCAAAATTGAAGTACCACAACAGGAATGTCATGCGTTAGTTGCACCTAAAAAAAAGAAAAACAAAGACAAAAACGAACATGAAATGATCAAAGAACAATTTCCAATAGGCGAAACTAACGTCAGTTCCAAAGAAAACGAAAATCATAAAGAAACTGAAAATAATAAAAAACAGAAACGTAAGACTACACGAAGTAAAATAAAGGAAGAGAAAACTGAAAGAGGACGAAAAGGCAACAGTCTAAAGCAAGAAAACACAAAGTGGAGTGTCGTTTTTTCTCATTATAATTTTGACAGCGATAATGAGGACCTATTAAAAGAAGAGGTTGCTTGGTTGGAAGCACGGGCGGAGGAAATAAAAGAAAAAAATCGATTAAGTAGTGCAGAAGAAAAGGTATTTTATAGAAAGTTAGCACATTTTTCTTAAAACTTTGGTTTGTAGAAATTTAGTGAATTAAGAATAACTGTTCCATGGCCAGTTCCTCCTCTTCATATGATAGAAACCAGAATAACCATGAGACCAAATGAACAACAGAAAAGGGCTATAGAAGAACTGGGGGTACCAATTAAGTCAGCGACTTATTATAGTAAGATCGAAGATGAGCAGATTACCAAAAACTGGAAACATTTTTGCAAGGTGAGTAACTGTACGAAAAAGTCGGTTCTTCAATGTTATACATCAGTTTTTATTTAATATTTATTTTCAAAGATTAAGTTTTGCAAACCTCAAAGATTCATTATAATTTATTCTCCTTTTGTAAAATATATCAACGATTACATAACTCATGAGTGAATCGCTTACAGATGCACGATCTCCCCGAAGACCCCAAACCCTTCCACAACACGGTGAATCCTGACGGTCACGTAATCATTTCAGTGCCGGAAAGGCTCAATTTCGTTCGATTTTTAGCTCACAACCTAGAGGACCGTCTTCTGTGTTCAGTGTACAAGAGATTTCGCCGGTTATTCCCCCAGCAACAACAGAAAACCGGAATGTAAAGATCGTCCAGATTTTTTCCGGCGTTAATGAGAATAATCGTTTTTAGTCGATTTACGCCAGAAGAGGACTCCAAAATCGTCAAATACCTAGCAAAATCGTCGAGCAGGACACCGTGTGCAGACTTGGGGGCTTTACTGGGCCGAAATAAGGACTCCATAGAAAAAAGGGCTCGCATTCTCAGGGAGGAGGCCAGTTTTGGAAACCTTGATGTTAAATGGAACACGGACAGGATTCAAGAGTTTATAAATCACGCTGTGAAGGTCACCCAAGTGAAGAAAGTGAAGCATCTGAAAAAACGGGAAATCACGACCAAAGAATGGCGCTTTTTAGAGAAGAAATTGGGCATCCCAGTGCGTAAGCTACAGAAAGGGTGGGCATGCCGGATTTACCCAATGTTGTTTGCCAAAGCCCACGCGAGTACCAAGCAAGTAAAAGAGAGTCTCATAAGGCTGTAAGTTGCAAGACTGGATGACATCTTTCAACTAAAACCAGTGGTGTTTACGGATTTTTTTTAGACTACTACAGAGGGGTGAACGTGATTTCAAAACACTCGACTGGAATTTAATTCAGAAGGAACTGGGTAAAGACGGTCAGGGTTTCACAGGGAGAGGTCTCCACGAATTGCTACAAGGCATGATTTATCATTGTGTTCCGGTTGGGACACGAAACGACGCAAAAGGTACAAATTTCTGTCTTACTGTATTAGATAATAGTGTGTTTTCAGCGTGTTTAGAGTATCTGCAACAAATTTTAAAAAATGGGGGTCTGAGAGGCCGCAAAATAAGAAAGATAAATGTGAATGACAAGAACGAGATACTCACGCAATGAACCACATAGCGTCGAGCACTCAAAAAATTGCGATATGACTTTATTGTAACTTTACAAACTTATACTTATTACGAAATAAATTTTACTTTTGTGAATACTCATAACTTTGAAGCTTAAAAGAACAAAACTGAATATCCTTTACATAATCTAAGGTATATACCGTGTAGGAGGGTAAAGCGTAAGTGTAGACAAATGCAGGTCGCCATGGTTTTTCTAACGTAAGTTTACTCCTATGTTTTATTTTGTTCTTTTGCCTGCCATTTTTCCTTAATAATGTTTCTAGTTTTATCTTTCATAATAAGTATTAAAATGTTAGTAGTGTTTCCTAATTATTACCTCATCCGTGTTCTTTGCCTCATCCCCTAAATGCAGGTTAGCTCCTTAATTTCCAAGGAAATGAGCCTACCCACAAATGAATAATTTTATTAATGTTCAAATTCTCGGCTGCGGTCAATAAATAATTTGGGTACGACATATTTAGGAATACCAAATGTGCAAAATAGTGGTTAACATATAAATAGGTTCTTAACATTCAAATCTTGCAGATCTGTGCTATTAACGAATTCCTTAATAATTGATAATTACGATCAACTTTTATAAATCGTTTAAATTACTTATAAATAAATAAATTAAAGTCAAAATTGCTTTTATTACCGTTAGTGACTACGTAGACACTTCCTAAATTCTGCGAGAGGTTTTGGTCAGAGTCTGCGCATAAAGTTGTTGGGAATATATTGTTCCGTGTTCCGTGAAATGGCGACTGGCGAGTTGGTGCAGTCGTAGGTTGTTTAAATTGGAGGAGTTTATGCATGCTTCATCAAGCAAGAAGCATTTCATTTTGTTTTGTGTTAAATATTTTTGGAAAATAACGTTTTCTTAGTTGTGGTTGTGACAGTTAAATGTATGGGTTGTGCTTGTTTATCTGGTGGTTAAGCATTGTTACTGTGTTTGTAATGTGGGGAAGAGTTTGCATAAAATGGCTACTTTTATTGCTTATGTCCTGCAGATTGTTAGAAAGGTAAGTTTCGCTTTTAAATCGAATACAATTTTTGTGGGAGCGTGGGGTGGTTGACCTTAACAGATTTTTGCCGTTTCCACTTGTTGATTGTAAATTTGGTAACGTTCATAGTTAGATAATTTTCTTACTAAAAGCCGTTCACAATCAACCGAAAACTGTTACTAATTGCTAAATTTTAAGCAAAGTCAGCAGGTAATGTTTCAATGGAAATAACAACGACTTACAGTTGACACAATTTATTTTCGTTGCTACGTAAGAATATCTAAAGGACGGATTTTAGCCTACAAACAGATAAGCAAACAATTTATTTTTCGTAAAAGTTTACAAATGAAATGACCTATATTTACATACTTATGTTCAGACGTCTCTTACCAGTAAATCCACTCTTAAATTTAAAAAATAATTTTTCTACACAAGTCAACTGTGAATACTACAGCGTGATCAATAATTTATATTTCAGTTTGTACCAATCATGGACCAATGAATATAAAGGACGGAGTGGCGTATCTTACATAAGGGACCTCATCTTAAAATCACATTCAATGAAAACAAAATTTTTTAGAAAGTGATGCGCGATCTTTTGAATAATATTTACAAGCATGTATTAAAAAGTAAGAACATTAGCCAATAATAATCCTACGTAATTTTATTAAAGGCACTAAATGGACAGTATTCCACATAGAGCCAATACCATATTTAAAAAATACATAAATAATTTTGGTATGAAAATACAAAATGTGTAATAACTAATTTACAAGTACTAGATACTTACAATCAAAAACTGGTTGGTAAATAAGATTTCAAATAAATCAACTGATATGAAACTGATTCGTGAACACTACAGTTTAACCTAAATAAATTATGACTTACGAGACATTAGATCTATACAAATATTCGATTTCGTCTTCAAGGGTATACAAAATTTCCGAGAGATTAGTTTTGTGTATGTAAATTATATTTTACAATGTTGATTTTGTTTCAAAAGACTACAGACCTAAGGTTAAAAATTAGAGACTGGATGAACTACAAAATAAAAAAAAAACAGAGAAATAATCCTAAAGTACACATAGCATTTCACATTAAAGGGGCAAGTATTTAAGATGAGGAGTATTTGTCTAATATACCCAATACAGTACGTACTCGAAAAATAAAAATGGCAAATTTTAATAATCTGCAGTGCCTTGAAGAAGAAACGAACTTGCACGTCAACGCAATTAAATATGTTAAAAGTTTTCCTCCATATCATAAAACTTGTTATGAACTAATTATTAACAAACTATTTACAAGAAAATAATATTATAAAAATTATTTTCTTGTTAATAAAATAAATTTTGTAATTTTATTGATCTACTTTTTCACGCTTTAAATTTTATGTAATGTAAATTATAGTTTTACATTTTTATTGAATTAGTATGCAATCGCCCGATTTGGCAATTGTAATTAATTTAAGCCCAAGCTGAACAGTTTTATATTTTCGTAAAATTTTTGCATGCCCATACTGTCGTTTTCACAGTAGTTAATCTTTTTTCTTAAACTTGAAACATCTTTCAAATTGCGATTTTGTTAGACAATTATCTTCTAGTATTCGTTAATTTAAAGCACAACCTTTAATAAAATCGACAAAAATGACGTAAATTACATCCAGTAAACATTTTGAGTCAGAATCTTTACTCAAACATCAGTTAGCATGGGGTATAAAATTTTACATGAGACTTTTAAAAAAGATGTATGTCATTATTCCGTATGGAATAAAGGCTCACTGTTTCCTAGGAAATCATGTAAACAATGAATTCAAATTTTAATAAAACCGTTGTACATATTAACTCTTATCAATTTATTGTTATAGTAACATTACTTGAATTTACCATATTAATAAAAGGACGGCTTTCGCCTGCGTCTTCGATGTTTCTACATGAACATAAATCAGTCCGGAACTATTTTTTTGTAATACCCTTGGTATTGCACCACTTTTGGAAATAAACGTATTCTCACCAACGACTACAAATTACGTCAAAATTTTTTGAAAAATTAACTAGAAAACAGACGTTTCCGTGGCGACCGCTTCTTAAAATAACCAGATAGAGTTTATCATTTTGGTGGAAAAAAAAATCACGAGAAAAATGTTGTATTTTCTTTGGAATAAAACTTCAAAATCCCTCGACTGAAGATGACGAAAACTTTTAGATATACTATTCTATGGATGTATTTTGACATTTTGGTTAATTTCAGCCATCAAAGTGACATTCTAATTTATTTTTACAATTTTGATTTTAAATTAGCCGGGAGTGCAAAAAATTGCGCGTATTTACCACAGGACTGAAGTATCATTTAATAATTTCATCGCCGAAGATAAAGTTTCTCAAATGAGAACGATAGAAATTGCTGCAACAACTGATTTATTTGTAAGTTTTCGTATTCTTGAATGTTACTGTAGCAATAGCTTCATAGAACAGTGCATTACACTCTAGAAGTACGTATGAAAACAATAGTTACCTAACAAGACTGGACGAAGGAACATATTGAAAATCTTATTATTATTTATAGTATTTTTAGCTCCTGAGTTTAGTAGAATAGCTGATGACGTCTTTTGTATAACATTTTTCGCACAAATTGTTTAAATTATTTCAAATTCCTGTTTTTAAATAGTTTGTGACAGTCTAATCAATTGTGTGGGAAATGTCTGTGTATCCATTATACATATAAATAAACAATAATGACAGTTTTGAATTTTTGTAATGATTAGTGCTGAATTGTGATACAAAGTAAATCCGGCATTTTCGAACTAGGTGTACCTAGGTGCTTATACGTAATAAAGTAGTTAGGTATATGCCTAGGTGTAAGTAACCGAGGCTGCAGTGATTGTAGTGCGACCTTTATTTCCCACAAAATTACGGGAAATATATGAAAAAACCTATCAAGTTTTGTGATTGGTGTAGGGAAAAAAGTTAAGAAACATGCATGTACTGCTTCTGGAATTGGAAGGGATACCGTACAATTTTAACAGTATTGTAACGTGTACAATATAATTTTTTCACTATTAGTAAAGTAATGCTCAACTTTTCAATTAATATTATTGTACTGCACCTGTTCAAGTTGTTATACGTGTCCTTGATAAAATGTTGACATCGTCAAAAAAATTGTATATGGAAAAACTCACTACAATGCATACGATGCTTCTTTACCTGTACTTTAACAATCCACGCATATATTAATTTTAGCTCGTAGGGCCACCAGAAACAAAAGTCTTAAAGTTAAATTTGATAATTTTTTGAAGTCGTATTTGTTCGACTGTACTTTAAGGGTGAGGGAAGTTCTGTCGGAATAACCTACGACCAATTCTTTTTCAAATATTTTTTTAAATTACTTGATAACGCCTCATTGTTGAAGTGATTTGTAGCCAAAATGAAAATAAAACAACAGTGGAAAACATTATGTCTTGTTTACAATCGAAAATGTACGTGTAACATTTGTTTTTTTGGATAATAATAATAATAATAAAGAATAATATATTAATATGAATAGGATATTAACAAAAAGAGGCGCAGAATTAAGTTCATGTTTTGTATTTAAAGGGAACACATTTATATATAGGTCATGTCTTATCTTTGACTTAATTATCGTCAAAATTCAGAAACAAAAAACTGCAAAAATTTATGTAGACCGAAAGCGAACATTTTTTTCCACAATTCTCAATCCATCAGCGTCTGCTAGTATCGAAATTGTCAAGTTATTTATATTTACCATTTAAAAATTTTGTTGAGTCAGGGGCATGTCTTTTTCTGAAATTTACAAACCAAAAATGAGTTTAGCCTCAATTTTTGCAAATTTTCTTTTTCCAGATCCAGCAACACATTTCCCTATTCCCGACAACACTTAAATGAAGACCAGAATCAGGTGTGTTTGTTAAAGATATTTTTTTAATTAATGTTTTGTGCATTCTTTTTAATATTACCACTGCCTTTCTTTACTTACAAGCCATGTT